TATGTGGAACTTATATGTTTTACCTCGCTGAATATTCTATAAAAAGAGTGAGATGAGAACATTAAATGATATATACCAGAGGTGGCCAACCTGCTTACGACCGCGATCGACTAAAATCTTCAAAATAGATCGCGATCGACTGATCGGCAACAAGGTCCTACACAATAACGAATTGGCACTGAATGTGCAGATAACTGTACACATGCATACAAAAACTTCGCAAAATCGACACAAAATTTGTATGTTTTATGTTCTATTCAATTCCATGCATTTGAATATTTAATTGTAAACGGAGTAAATGTTTAATTATTTAATTAAGATTTAATTAAATCATTCAATTCAGATAAAGGACGTGACTAATTATTAGTCGCGTAAGTTTTGAAAATTCTTCAAAAAACCTTGCCAAGTTTTATCCAAACAGCAAATAATAAATATTCTCAAACCATGAATGTTACATGACTGCTCAAACTTCAGTATCTAATTTACAATTTCCTCCAAACGCGATTCTTCGCTTCCTTAGAATTAGAACAAATTGGGCATTTTGATGCCCCTGCTACCATTGCGAATAAAATTTATCACACTGCTCTTGGAGTGAGACAATAACTTTCGCATACTGCGGAAATTATTGTAGGATCGTTTGTCAGTCTACGCAAGGGTTGCCAGATCCTAGTGATGAAAAAAAGCCAAGTCAAGACAGAAAAAATCAATATTCTCATGATTTGAAACTCCTAGCACAATTGTGAATTTGCACAGTTCGCAATATGCCTATTTAGAGCCATCAGTTGATTATTGAGCCACATCAAATGCCAAATCCTACTAAAATTTGTAGTTTTGGTTGCTATCATGACAATTTCCACTTCAGCACAATCAAGGAGTACAACTAAGGAGGAATATTTAATGGCAGAATTAGAATGGATATCCGACATAATACAGTCAAGCTGACATCTACATAAAAAATTCAAAAACATCAAGAAGCCAAAAAATGAAAATATTAAGCGGACAGCACTATTTTTCAATTCAGGTATATACAATACACCATGTATATATACCGCTTTAGGACATTTCTACTTTAACTTGCGATATATATATATACCTCAGAAAATTGTCCCGATATTTTATTTTGAAATTTTTTTTTTGATTGGTTTGAAGTGTTGGCGATTATGAACTGATTCACATGTTTGAAGGCATCGTTTTTACTAAAACTATTTAACCACGTGCCGCTTGCACAGATAGTCTACTGATAGAAGATTTTGGTTTAGATAATCACGTCGTTTGAGAGAATTTTGATTACCTCAACCAAACTAAAGCTCCTCGTAAGACAAAATGACAATTACTGAATTGAGGCATACAACTATTTTTTGGAAACATAACTAAAAACTAACAAATAACATTGTAATTCGCAAAACCAAAAAAAAACGAAACTGCTTGAACATCTGTCTGAGCGGCTGCAAAAACTGCAAGTGTTATGTCATTCTAAGTGATTCAATAGTCTTGCTGCACACTGAGACAAATATATCTTTGTAACGTTTCGTTTGACCAAGGTCAGACTTCCTCAGACATACATAGTTCAATCTAAGCGATAGCACATGTATGTTATTGTTAGCTTCGGACCTTGATCAACCTAACGGAATTTGGAAGATAGTTAATTGGGAATAGCGTGGTTATGTTTATAGCTTCACTCACATCTACAATATCTTGAATTCAAAAAGCCAATCTCCCAAGAAATGAGTAAAGTATTTAAAAACAGGCGCGATTCATAGTAACAGAGTGACTATCGATCATAACACTTATAAGTAACGATCATATAAGTTAATAATATAACGATCATATAAGTTCGCCGAAATTTATATTCACGTGTTGCCATTACTAAAAAAGCGAGTTCTACAATTAGTAAATAGGAACGAAAATAGGATTTTTGTGTATAGTCTACAATAAAAACATTTATATATATATATATATAAATTACGCAATTACAGTAAACACTCGCTGTAAAGTTTGTTAGAGAATCTAAACTCCGTCCCAAACTTAGGCCAGTGCAATTCTGTATCAAACTAGTGTCCGCAATAAATATTTACATTTACAGTATATATGAGCATTCATACCCTGTGTCCGAACTGGACGCTTCTGGTCAATTTTTAACTATGACACTTCTCGCTTATTCATAAACTGCACAACTCAGTACCGCGATTTTCAGTCAGTGGTGGGTTTCAGTCAATTCGCACCGGTTCTATAGAACAGTCTCACAGAATTTGATGGGATCAGCGAACCGGTGCGCATTACTGGATAAACATGACTTTCTGTAACAGAACCGACTGAAAAATATGTGGTGGATCCTGCTGACAAAAAATTTGAATCCCGCCTCTGTTTTTAGTTCACATGAGTCGTGCTTACGGATAGATAGTCTCTATAACGCAATGACAGGATTAGCAATCGTTCCTATTTGCAAGTGACATTAAGACAAAGAATGATGTTTATGAATTGAGCAATTTTACATATATATATATATATATATATACTTTGCCACGATAAAAAAGTTTTTAGCCTCAGCCCCTAAAAATAAACGCTTTTGTGGGATACGTATGACATATATTGCAGTTTGGTTTCAAGTGGAATCGTAGAACAATTGCATTTTTTATTTACAAATTAGCAAGTTGATAAAAATGACAATTGAGAATGATACGGAGAAGAATATTCGTTGCGTTAGTATATATCAGGGGTGGCCAACACGTAGATCGCGAACGACCGGTCGATCGCCACGTCTCGGGCATTCGATCGCGTCTGATGTGAATTTTATTAAAATGCCCCCAAAAATTGTCTCGAACCAGTTGTGTGTTTTGCAACAGGGAGAATACAGGACTTTACATGCGCGAAATACAACATACACATACAGTATTTGAGTCTGGGCAAGCCCGATAAAGCATATTATCACGTAACAAATGCAAGTTTCCCGCTGCCAAGGTTTAGAAATGCCGAATATCGCGTATCTAGTATAGACCAGGGTTGCCATATTGGCTTTTGTAACGCCAAACTTCACGATTTTGGCTTTTTTGAAACACGTTTGGCGTCAGAATTTCCGTTTGGCTGTTTCTTGGCTTTTTTTTCATGTCCATTCTACTGTCTATTATTAAAATAATTTAAAATAAAATACAGGTATTTATTGTGCAACAATAGCAAGCTCAGCTACTCAACATTTAGATTTTCCCTTTAACCACAATCAATCAACAAGAAGCCAACAATGACATACATGTGCTATCGATTAGGTTGAACTATATATGTCTGAGGAAGTCTGACCTTGGTCAGACGAAACGTTATAGAGATATATTTGTCTAGGGGGGCAGCAAGACTATTGAATCACTTAAAATGACATAACAACTGAAGTTTTTGCAGCCGCTCAGACAGATGTTCAATCAGCTTCGTTTTCTTATGTATGTCTGAGGAAGTCGACCTTGGTCAGACGAAACGTTATAGAGATATATTTGTCTTAGTGTGCAGCAAGACTATTGAATCACTTAAAATGACATAACAACTGAAGTTTTTGCAGCCGCTCAGACAGATGTTCAAGCAGCTTCGTTTTCTTAGTTTTGCGAGATACAATGTTATTTGTCAGTTTTTAATTCTTCGTCACCATAAAATCGCTTTTCTCCTCGAATACTGGACCAATTGCTTTGAAATTTTTAGTGGTGAAAGATTAATTATTTTGCCAGAAGGCTATTACTTTTACTTATTTTATTTCAAAAATTTCAAGAGATTCGTTTTCTATGTGTAAAAAATAAAAAAATATCGACACCTTGTGACTTGTCCATATATTTGAGCAGAGCTCTCTTGTATTTGTTGTTTTTGTTTGGGAAGTTTTTGTCGTCCTTTCCACGACTTATGAAACAATAGATTTTTTTAATCAATTTCTCATTATTTAATAAAATCTACCTAAGTAGGTAAGAAGATTCCGTTCACTTTATAACTTTTCCCCAATTGAATCTAAGTCATATGGGACTCGATAACCCGTATCAATGTGCATTTGACAGACAAGTCACCTCCATAAGCCTCATCGGTTAAAGTTAACTGAATTTAAGCGGATTGATTAATGTGATAAAATGCATCTTGTTAACACGAGTACCAGAACGAAAAGCAGTTAACATATAATTGAGTGCGCGTTACATTGCCTTCAATTCGAATAACTTCGTATGTTTCCTAATCTTGGATTGAAATATCAAAATTTTGTATTTTCTGATTAATACGCATATATATTCAAGTTAATTCTTTTATGTATTACGGGAATGTGAAAGAAACCAAGGCAGCAGCTAAGGCCAATAAAAAAAAAAACAGGAGCAAAGGAGTGACAGGAAGCATCTGGCGCCCATCAACAGCCTAAACCTAAAATGACAGGCATAAAAGGTATCAAATGAACATCTCACTCACTCAGTATGATGTCACACGGACCAGACAAATGTCTTACTGATATATGGCATGCTTTCCAAGATTGCTCGATTGCTCCAATATTTAGTCATATATATCAACAACAATAAATACAATAGCCCACCAGCTGCGAAACGATGCATTCCAAAAGAGCGTAAGTGTGCAAACCTCGCGATTTAGATTCCAGACTGTAGTAGCTAATTATATATCACAGTATGGGACATTGACTCTAAAGCACCAATCCATGTTCTTGTAATACAAACTGTAGAAAAGAGCAATCAAGATTCAAAGAAGCGCCGTTCATTATATACATATATATCTCATTGTATACCCATTAAACTCTTTTTGAATACTAATTCAAAATTAGCCAGTATAGATATACTTGAGATAATTTACAGAAAGTGATATGTTATATAAATGAGTTATGTGGGTTGGTACACAGGGAGTTGACTTTTAAATGAAGGTAGATTTATTGTACCTCCCGCTTTACCTGTTTTTGTTCAACAAGTATGAAACACAAACATGTAGGCTACTGTCTGACAAAAAACGAGAAATCAATTTGCAAGTATTTGAACACCAAAGCCAAAACGAGATAGTACGGGTATCTAATCTTTTACAATATCGGTAGGCTACCGCAGTCTTTTCGACCTCAACTGACTACCATACCGCAAAGAACGCGAACACGGGATCGCCACAGAGTGCTCAATTTTTAATTTTGATGACGCCATCTCACACAAACAAGCGAATCCAAAGAAACTCAAAGCAATATTGAACTAAAAAAGTAATAGTCTTCTAGCAACAACAACACATTTCAAAATCAAAGCAATTGGTTCAGTAGTCAAAAAGAAAAGCGATTTTTTTCACAACATTACCAACAATAAGGAGAATACCAACAACAGCAAAACGATCTATAGTTCACTTCGTATCTCAAAATCAATACATATGTGAAATAATATACAACGAACACAGTCATAAGCACACAGGTCGGTTAAGAGACTAACGGTTCAGACGTTTAGACAGTATTAATTGAGCAAATTGATGTCCGGGTGATATGGATTATTTGAAAAGTACAACACTAACGTAAGATTAGAACTAAATGTGACTTTTGTGATGTATAGAAGTGTCATTATCTTTTTCTACATCATATCCGTACAATATTTGAACATGATGCGGCGGTTTCAATCCAGAAAAGATCTTCTTTCCAGTCACGGAATCTATGTATTCACACAACTCAATCCGCTTTATAACATACAGTCCAAGAGGATTATCGCGTGGTTGTTCGTAAGTTAGAAAACCCACTAGTTTCTCAATATTTTTCCGCTTGGCAAGTTCGATGGTTCTACAATGAAAATAAATTACAATAATGTAAAAGAGAGCACTGAAACCAAAATTTCGATTATCAACTATATACATTCTAGAAACCGGTAGTAGTTTGCCTTTTTCAAGTTCTTATTATTAGACCTAACTAAAATGCCAAAGTTGAAGGGGATTGAATTTTGTTTTTCTATATTCTTCCTATTTTATAGTTGCATAGAAGTGAATAATATGTACAAATGGTATATACGCTTACCTTCTAATCAATTCTTTCATCACTCCCGATCGACGATATTTTGGATGAACTCTTTTCAGCTCCCAGTACTCAGTTGTTCCTAAAATGACAGGTAGATCATCCTTTCCGAGTTGTTTGATCAGCTATGGAGACATCCAAAAGTATATGAATAAAATTTATGCCCGGTAAATATATTTTAGTGAAAAATACGAGACTAAATATAATCGGTATAAAATAAATAGGTTTTAATTGTTGTCCATTTCTCTAAAAAATAATGTTCATAGAAGATTCATTGTTGTGATTAATTAAAGTTTGGATAAATCAACCTTTTACACACAAAACTTGATGTTAGAAATATTTTTTTATATTTACCCGTTTAACAGCACTTATATTTGTATGTTCCTGTGATTCCAGCGCTTTTTCATTAAACAGTTTTTCTCTTTCTTCTTCATGTTTAACATTAACAACAACTGCAACTAATTGCTCTAGTTCATCAAACGCCCCGAGTGAATTTCCTTGTTTCAGAAATGGCTAAAGTGCATAAACAGTTTCATCAAAAATTGAAAATCACGGGGCCACCAACACAAATGGTCATCTACATGCATCGCAGGTCAAGTGTACACATGCATTAGAAACATTTGTGAAATCAAGCTGGACATTAAATCGAGTTTTGAATCAAATATTGGGCCATCCAATCCCAACGTTTTTAAGTCGGACTTGAGTCCCAGCTCAATTACAACGTTATTAACAAACACACACACACACAACCACACACACACACACACACCCACACGCATATATATATATATATATATACGTCAGCTACCGAAGACGACCGCAAGTGTCCTCAAACAAATTTAAACGTTCATAGCGAAATGATATTTACCTCGACCCGTGAATAGTATTCATCCCGTAGTTCATTATTTCCTATTCCAAGGTGTGTTACAAGATGATTTGTAAGAGTGTACTGTTCTTCCAAAAGTTTACGAACAGCTGCCGAATCATTTATTGTGAGAATTCTGTAACGGAGGTCCATGCTTAAGCTATTACCAATTTTTCCCAAGATACAACGCGGTTACAATTTTCAACAACAACCACTTGTGTGTTTATCTAATATATTTTTTCCCATTTCTTTTAAAATAAAAGTTTGTTCACAATTTTATTTTCTTTAATACCGACCGCGTTTAATAATAACTACATTCCATTGTAAATTTTACTTGCTGACACTTTCTGTGCGTCTTCGTGCATTACTTAAGCTACGTGTTTGTAAGTTCACTGTAGCATATAGGCCTACATATGAAGCAGAAGGATGCGCTCTCATTTCGTCAAGGGGAGCTCTCGCTATACATTTTACTAAACAAAATCTATGATTCAATAGTCTTGCTGCGCAATAACACAAATATATCTCTGTAACGTTTCGTCTGACAAAGGTCAGACTTCCTCGTAGTTCAATCTAATCGATAGCACATGTATGTCATTGTTGGCTTCTTTTTGAATGATTGTGTTTAAGGGAAAATATAAATGTTGAGTAGCTGAGCTTGCTATTGTTGCACAATAAATTTTTGTATTGTATTTTAAATTATTTTAATAATGGACAGTAGAATGAACGTAAAAAAACAAGAAAAAGCAAAACGGAAATTCTTTCTGAGCCGCTGCAAAAACTTCAATTGTTATGTCATTCTGAGTGATTCAATAGTCTTGCTGCACACTAACACAAATAAATTTCTGTAACGTTTCGTCTGATCAAGGTCAGACTTCCTCAGACATACATAGTTCAACCTAATCGATAGCACATGTATGTCATTGTTGGCTTCTTGTTGAATGATTGTGTTTAGGGGAAAATATAAATGTTGAGTAGCTGAGCTTGCTATTGTTGCACAATAAATTTCTGTATTGTATTTTAAATTATTTTAATAATAGACAGTAGAATGAACATCAAAAACGGAAATTCTGACGCCAAACGTGTTTTAAAAAAGCCAAAATCACTGCCTAATGATAAATACGACCTGGACACCACCTCATACCGAAGCACCAAAATGAGAAGTATAATATATGTTTTATTTCGCCATTATATCATTTGACCGTCATCATGGGTTTGTTGTATATAGATTATATAATATATTTTTGGCGCATTCTTCCATATATTTGCGTTGTCTTCTTATTAACAGCACAAGTGTGAAATAGAATCTTGACTTGTCGACGGCAGTGACGCTTCTAATATTAGGACAAAGAAACATTGGACAAGAAATTTGACTCATTTTGAACAGAATAAAGAGAAAATACATGTGAGTATGTGAAAAAAGATGAAAAACAAATTACGTATAGTCACATTGTAGAAATTGAAAATTGGCCAGTAAATTTATTTCTATTACGGTAAAGTATGATAAATGAGGCATACTGTATTCCAGGGGTCACCAACGCGTTGCCCGCGGGCACCAAGTCGCCCGCAAAGACCATATGAGTCGCCCGCAGGTCTGTTCCAAACTAAGCTAAATAACGGCTCTTATAAGTAAGCTACATCAATTAAATTTTGTCCTGCTATTTTAGTATAAATCACACTTATATGGAAACTAGAAATTAATTTTTGCAACCATCAACATTATTTTTATTTGACGTCAGTCATGTGACGGGTCAATTAACACTCTTCCAATTATGACATCACACTGAGATCACTTTCCACAAACCCGCGCTTTTTCTTGTCCGTTGGTTAGCGGAGCAGTAATAATACAATTATTGATTTCAAGGAAAAATCCATCATTTTCACGATGAATGGGAGGTGGATATATTTTTACCACCATGAAAACAGCCTGCGTGTGTCTCATTAGTGGGGCGATTTTAGCGACGGCAAAGCGGAGAGATATTTCACATCTTGTCACGAAAGCTTCCGCGCTAACTACCAACTGGTCAGCACAGTAAGGACAGAAAATCTCGCGATTCAAATCATACAGCAATAGGACGGCTTAACCATATGACGAACCACGGCTTCTCGTCGGTGACCATTCGATGTCGGGTATGGGATTAGTTAGTTATTTGTTTCCGGAAGCCTGGACTTGATGGCGACGGAAGCCTTAACCGACCAGCGGTTACGTGAACCACCCTATACGGCGACGAGGAGTCCAGCAATCCTTTCGCACATAACTATCTCCGCATGGGATTCGAACCTGCGAACCTAACGCTTAACACGATGGGCCATAGCGCCGCGACTCACTCCACCAGGAACAAACATGGAACACGCCTCACTAATGAAAATCTGCAAGACTCGCTCAGAGTGACAGTGTCAAGTTACACGTCGGAGTATAATAGGCTACTCTGCAACATTTGATAGTACAACTGCCAAGTCCATTTTATCTTAGACTTGTGCAGAGTGTTGAAATCAATTTAAAAACACTCAGTTTTGAAATACAAATGTTATTGATAGAAATACATTTGCAACATTGTGATATGCGTTTGATTTCCTGAAGAATCCTAAAGTTTATTATTGTCTATACTTCACTAATTACCGGTAATTATATCAATAATTGAAGCTTAATCGAGCAACTGACTTTTTCAGAAGTGTACATTGAACTGGTAGCCCGCAGCTTAATCTGTACCCAAAAAGTGGAACCCTGCTGTATTCTCAATAAGCTGGTCGAAACTTCATTTCTACAGATTTCATTGAATAGTATAGTAAGCATTATTCCAGCGATTCCATTCGATTCCATATGCGTTACCTTTGGTAATGTACTTTCCAACAGTTTTTGCGTATTCTCCATTAAGATTGGATATGTGACAACTGTGATACCACCACGCACCTCTATGACGCGCAGCGCAGTTAGCTGAATGGGGATCGTTATCTTTGTCCAGTGTCGAAAATTTTTGTCCGGTATGATAAGAGAGAGAATCTTCTGCTGTTCCATAATATCCTCCAACGTGAAGCGTCGCCAATGGAAAAAATTCCGTAAAATATAAATATTATATATATATTCGTGCAAATATGAAAATTGTTGTCAATTTTAAGGTAAATTTTTTTTACCTTGAAACCAATAAATACTAATACTCAATTCTATTTTAGTATTTGCAATACCAGCGTTTTGAAAAATGGATAGAAAATATATGAGTCAATATTTAGAATGCAGTACGAGTTTCTCCACAAAAGCGTATTTTTAGAGGCTAGGCTAAAAAAATTTTAATCGTTGCATATTAGACTTTAAAAAATTGCTTAATTCGTAAACATCATTTTTTGACTCGAACATTTGCTAATTCTGCCATTGCGCTGTAGATACTATCCGTAAGCATGACTGATGTGACCCAAAAACCACAACACTGAATTGTGCAGTTTATTAAATAAGCCATGGTGAAAAATTAACCAGAAGGTTCCAGCTTGGACTTATGGCATGACGCTTATACTTAATATAAATGTCAGTGTAAATAATCATTGTAGACATCAGTTTGAAACAAAATCGCACTGATCCAAGCCCGGGGCGGCGATTAGACTCCAAAACAAACTTTTAACAGCGAGTGTTTACTGCAATCGCGTACATTGTGGGTTCGTACTAAGTAATAGTACTCAACTTACTTTCGACAGAATGGCCATTTGAACCCAAGATATTTTAGATGTAGGTAGAACTATAGCCATAACCAACCTATAACTAATTAGCTATCTTTCACATTTCTCAAGTGTGGTAATGTGGTACCGTCACTATACCGTGTACTTCTATCTTCATACGAACCTTGGATCAGAAAACTTAAACTTCTTTATGATAGATCACAGTTACTACTCGTTTTTATACGAGATACCATATTACTCAACAACTAATGTGAAGTAAAGCTTTGAAAACAAACATAATAGGCAGAAGAGTTATCACCTTTAAAGCTAGCTCACCTTCTTTAGCAGTCCAGGAGCACTCCGAAAAACAATTAGAAAAAGTACAGATATGCCATTCAAAACGACATTCATGTTATAGCATATGATGTCATCGACAGCATAGCATTTCTTTATATAGTCTCACCAACGCATTTATCTTTGCTCTAAACCACCACCTCACTTTTCTTGAAATTTTCTATTTCATTTTTTAGAAATTCCAGAAGAATTTAGGACCAACCTAACAGTAGTCCGATCAACAACAAAATAGGAGTAGTCCTAAACAATGTCACGTTGGCAGAGGTACTCGGATTTAGCCGAGAAAAACGAAATTTAGTTAATTAAAAAATATATTAGTTAAAACCACGATTCTACACACGACCCAAAAAATATAAACAGATAAAAACAAAAAAAGGGCGAAATATAGTTCCGCCATAAAAGCCATTTGTTCTAATTAGTTATACGCTTACATTCTAATGCGATTGAGCAGTAAGTGCAACAATAAAATTAAAATTCCAAGTGACTGTTAATGAGTGCATATATTTATTCTCGTGGTGCAACCAACCAATAAAGCGAGAAACAAGATTAGGACATTTAACGATTTACGAAAACGGACATCCCCAGTTAACAAGGCGCCACGAAATATTCCACCAGTCATCTGATTAACGAAGCCTTCTTGTAAATTTATCGAATATTAGATGACGTACTTGCGACATCTGTGAAATGTTCAGAAGTGTTATTATTATTTTCTTGTACATTATATCCGTACATAATTTGAACGTGGTTTGGTGGATTCAATCCAGAAAATATATTTTTCCCAGTTACAGAGTCTGTGTATTCGCTCAGTTGAATTCGTTTTATAACATACAATCCAAGAGGATTATCTGGTGGTTGTTCGTAAGTTTGGAAACACACAAGTTTTTCAATATTTTTCCGCTTAGCAAGTTCGATGGTTCTACAATATAAATAAATGATATTACTATGGAAGAGAACACTAAAGTAAAGATAGCTCTTTTTAATATGTAAATTTCAGAATATATGCCCATTCGATTTCTTATGCAGTAAAATGTAATGTCGAATTAAAACGCAATTGCATCTTTGTTTTCTGACATCTTTTGTTTTTATTGATCTATAAAATGGTATACAACTATGGCATTTGGACTTACTTTCGAATCAATTCCTTTACCACTCCCGAGCGACGATATTTTGGATGAACTGTTATCATCTTCATCTCCCAATACTCAGTAGTTCTCAAAATGGCGGGTAGTTCATCTTTACCGAGATGTTTCATTAGCTATGGAGACGTTAGAAAAGTTTTATTAATATCATAACCACTGAATATTATTGACCGAATTCTAGGCGACAAGATATAAGGTATTACATAAATTTAAACAGGTCTGTTCTTTGTAAATGGCAAAATCGTGAAACCTTATTGGGGATTATCAACATGGCACGGAGAAAAGCGGTATGATAGAAGTAATATTTAATATTTACCCGAACAATTGCATCTATCTTTTTGTTTCCCTGTGATTTCAACATCTTTTCAAAATTCATATTTTCGTTTTCCTCATATTTAACATTAACAATAACTGCAAATAATTGCTCCGTTTCATCAAATCCTCCAAATGAGTTTTCTTGTTTTAGAAATGGCTAAATTATAAATAATTTCATAAACAGTGGAAAATCACGTTGACATCGAAACAAAGAATAATACCTAAGGATCTATTCCCCGAATATGACACATGTTTTATATACAACAGTAAACAGTTTTTATTGAACCAGGTAAGAGAACAGAGACTGGCAGGAAAAAAATTGCATGCGCCAACTATATATACTCTTGTAAATTAGTGATCTCAAATTTCATATGATGTTCAAATTAATAAGCTTTATGGAAATGGAGAATCTCAAATCAGCAAGCACAGAAAACTTCTGCAACCACGATAGTTCTACAAAATGTAAAAAGAATATAACTATGTAATATTAACCCCAACACGCGAATAGTAGGTGTCACGTAGATCGTCATTTTCCACTCCAAGGTATTTCATGAGAGCAAACTAGTCTTCCAAAAGTTGACGAACATCTTTCAAGTCGTCTAATGTAAGAATTCTGTATTTGAGATCCATGCTTCATGCTATTTCACGTTACCTAAAGTCAAAATACAATTTTGAACAGCAACCACACGTAGATAAAACAACAGACGTTACACAGCGTTTAGTAGTTTTTGTTTTCAATTCATGTGCTATATTTAAAGAACGAAATATTATTGATTTATTTGGTAGTCTCAAGAGTCATTTTTTATTTGCCCTGATATATATCAGTATTACGTTTCAACTTCTGTCTTTAACGGATTCAGGCTATTTTTATCAAATCTACCTAAATTTCTAGGTATTTTCATGTACTAATGTACATAACATTTCGCACTCACCACAACTGGTAATTGGTAACGCTGAACATCATTCTACGACCTAGCGTAATGCTCAATTGGCCATCGTATTGATTATATTCATGATGCTACAACGGCTTAACCACTCAATTTGAACTAAATGCGATTCGAGGACTGCTAGTAGGCCTACATGACGGTCATCGACTGGAATATAAGCATCGTGGTTAAAAATTAACTAGTAACCTTTGGTTCATACACAAAGAATTAGGGCTCGTACAATAAATGTCAGTATAAATAGTTTAATCTGACTGGTCATACAGTTGGAAGTGACGGCTCGATTCTTCATACACAAGGTTACAGCGAGATTTATTGCAACCGCATGTATAATTGATATATCATCGTGTACTCAAAATATCTTGATTTTGCTTCATATTTCTGTGTTGCAAACTACGACAAAATCTGTGTACCAGAACTTATTCAGTAACACAAAGTCCAATGTAGATCGTATTCATAAAATGTTATTAATGGACACGTCAGTGTACATAACGATCGTTTCGATATTATGTTGTTGTTCTTGTTGACATTCTTCTTCGTCATCATAAAATCGGTTTTCTCTTCGAATACTGAATCAATTGCTTGAAATTTTTAGTGGTGAAAGATTGATTGTTTCGCCAGAAGGCTATTATTTTTACTTACTTCAAAAATTTCTGTGGACTTCAAGAGATTCGTTTTTTATGTGTTAGAATAAAAAATAGCTACACCTTGTGACGTGTCTATATAATTGAGCATAGCTCTCTTGTATTTGTTGCTTTTGATTGGGAAGTTTTTGTCGTCTCGTCCACGACTTATGAAACATTAAATTTTTTCAATCATTTTTTCATTAATCAATGAAAGCTACCTAAGTAAGAAAGAAGTTTCCATTAACTTAATAACTTTTACCCAATTGACTCCAAGTCATATGGGACTCGATAACCCGTATCAATGTACACGTGACAGACAAGTCGCCTCCATAAGCCTCATTGGTTAATTAAATTTAAGCGGATTGTTTAATGTGACGAAATGCATCTTGGTAATTAACACGAGTACGAGAACGATAAAAGAAAGACAGTAAACACGTAAATAGGTGCGTTACATTGCCTTCAATTTCCTATAACTTCGTATGTTTCCTATTCTTGAATTGAAATTTCAAAATTATGTATTTTTTGACTAATACGCAAATATATTCGAGTTAATTCTATTTCAATGGCAGGCATAAAAGTAGTAGGTACCAAATGGACGTCTCGCTCAGTGAGTATGATGTCACACGCACCAGATAAATGTCTTACTGATGTACGGCATATTTTCCATGATTGTTAGATCGCTTTACTAGATTGCTTCGATATTTAGTCATTTATATTAAAGAAAAAAAATACAATATCTGGCTGCAAAACGATGACTTCCGGCAGAGCTCGTCTAAAAACATTAATTACTTTCAAAGGGAAATTTTTTATTGAAAAATAATCATTGACTTGAAATTAAAATGCGGAAGTTTATTAGTTATGTTAGTCGAATGGAATCCCCGTGTTTATTTGCGTAGCGTTCAATCTACAAGATGCAATAGTGACGCAACAGTAAGCGGTTTCGAAGCCACTCATGCACACACTTTTCATTTGGAGAGATTTTAGACATGGCTGTAATCACTGGCTCGTTTCGTGGATTTTTCAGTTTTTGTCGCATTTCCGAATATTATGTATAAATAAAATAACTCAATGATTGCTTTAATTTCTGGAGCATTTTAATTTTGTTTCAGTAATCGAAAATCCCGAAATATCTGCCGATCATCTCAACCAGCTACTGCACTTTGCATCCTCCACAATTACGACTCGCTTCGACAAATTTAGAACTTATTTAGAACAAATTTTTACTTATTAGAAAACAAAGCCAAATTAAAAGGCTGTTAGTCTAGGGTGGACAAAATCGAATATTTTCTCGAATCGAATAATTTGAATATTTTTAACGAATACCGGATAGTCGAATAATGAATATATTTTTTTTATACATAACAGGGTACAAAACGTCGGAGGTCAATACTCCATTTAGAAATTCATAGAAACATTGAAATGTCGGCAATAAAGCATTTTTTTACTGGTTAATGGGTAATTTCATCATAATCGTTGTTTGTCTTTGTCACCGCGATCGTTTCGGCGGTGATATCCTAAAGTTGGTATTCCATATTCCCGCCCTTTACGGGGTCGTCGGATATCGAAGTTTTAAATTTCTAGCATACCCGTGCGTTCACATCAGCGACAGCTGTTGACTTCTACAGCCGGAACGCCCATATGGGTGTACTTTTAGAAAAATTGTAAAATTTATGTACTTATAGAGTCAATATCGCTCTTAGCTGTTTATCGACGTAATGCCCTGATATAAGAGAAGCGATAAAACCTTCCAGCCGTGACGCAAAGTGCGAATCCTATAAATATCCTGGATTTCAAAATCACCTGTCAGACGTCTGAAAAATGTGACTCCCTTCAGACAGGAAATACTCCTTTATAACGACTTATTATTGTTTTAGCATGTATTTTCAGTCATACTAACTATCCCTGACCATCCCTGGCGCTGTGTTGTTTTGATAAATATGATTTCGAATGCTCCATAGTTGGCAGAGGTATGGAGATTTTTTGTATGTAAAAAAAACGTAAAATTAATGGTAATTTTAACGCGTAAATGCGCGTATGAGATTGGTTACGCCGTTCTACGCGCATTTCCGTCGAAAAAATTTAATTTTTTTGCATTGGGGGTGGTCTGTGCAGTAATAATAAGAGCTGTGACGTCATCAGTATCGGTAATTTGACCTTGAACTTGACAATACTGTAAATACAATTGTGAATTTCAGAGTGATAACCATTTATGCTATAATAGTCGTTTTGGTATTGTTATGTTAGGAAAAACTTGACGAAAACGTTGAAGAAAAAATTAATTAATTAGGAATTAATTATTAACCCTCTACTGTACACAGAATATCTCAAAGTCCAATTTTTTTTTTAGAAATTTTTGAAATTTTTTTGCAAAAATTTTTTTCGAGGGGTGTGTTTTAAAGATATATTGCTGAATAGAACTCTAGCAGACGCTTTTAAAAACCCATGAATAAAGCCTTAGGGATTAATGGTTGACATAAAAAAATAAGTTTAAAAATACCCATAAAATGGGCAGGGCTTGAGGCTTAAAAAGGGTTAAAGGACTGATTTCAAAATCAAATAAATCTTATTCTGAGTTTTATCCTTTGCCTTGGCTTTGGTCTTACTTATCACCGCTTGTAAATTAACCGTGTCTGTTTACAGTGAACGGTAACCAAGATGCAGATATTTATTAAAATGATAATTGTGTTTCTAATGCTTTTCTATGGTGTTCGTGTTATTTTAGTACAAGATAGATAAACTTAGCAAATTTGCGATTGCGTGAATCCTGAATGTTGATTTAAAATAGAGATTAAATATAGTGGCAATAAGGGCATTTTTAGGCCTTTGTGACTAATAGAGGGTCAGACGCTAATTATATTTAATTCCTTCAAGTTTAAACTTTTTTTCAACAAAATAACACCCGACGTTTATTATAGCTAAATCACTTACTGAGTAATGCTCAATTTTATTTACAGAATTTGCAAATTCAACACTTCACCTTATGATTTTGATTATGTCATGCCTTAATTATTACTGCCCAAATGCTTCAAAATTTAACAATTGTAATCATTTTCGATGATAATAGACGCAACAATTCGTGAACGAATGTGCATTGTTACAACGAAATTCACGATTAATTTTACAATCTACTCTTGGCACAACGTCCATGCATGGTCGAGTAAAATGTTTACGTATTTGAAAAATTACTTGGCGAAGGATGGGGGGGATCCCTAAAGAGCTAATATAATGTGGTTTAAAGGGAGTAGGACATGACATTTTTTATCTGGTTACAACTTAATGAGTGTTTTTCATACAAACAACTCATACCAGCTTTGTAAAAACTTTGACTGGTCATTTTTAAATCCATGCTATACATATAACTCGAGTTTTCTAACGACCTAAAATCGCCTTTCTCGCAAGGAAACGCGGAAAACTCATTTTAACATTTATTTTTAATCAATTTTATGTTCGGGTCATGTAAGAAATGGTTAATGACATGTCACCAATCATGCGGGGTTAAAAATCTGCCATAAGTAAGTGAAATGCCATTCGAATATTTTATTATTCGATTCGTTCGAAAATTTTGCTCAGCCCTAGTTGTTACGTGTGTTGTTGTTACGATGACTTGGTATTTTAAATACGTGCTTAGTTTTGTTGCCATTTTAACTTGCGTTGCTTGTGTGCGGCTCTTCACAACTTTGAGGTTTGAAATTTGGCTCTGAGACTAAAGAAGTTTGAAAACCACTGTTCTAGACTGTAGCTAGTTATGTATTTCAGTATATGTATCGTGGCACAAATTTTACCTGTTTACTTTCAAAAAATATGAACACAAACATGCACTGTTTGACAAACAACAATAAAGCAATGCTCAAATATATGAACTCGACAAATATATGAGAACGAAGTAGTACGATAATCTAATCTTTAACAATACCGGTATGCCATATAGCAAAGAAATCAAACACGGAACCGCCACAAGGTGCTCAATTTTTAATTTTGATGACGCTATCTCACACATACAAGCCAATCCCAAGAAACTCAAAGAAATATTGAACTAAAAAAGTAATAGTTTCTTAGCAACAATAACACATTTCAATCACTGAAAATCGAAGCAATTGGTTCAGTAGTCACAAAGCAAAGCGATTTTTTTCACAACAATACCAACAAAAAGAAGAATACTAACAACAACAAAAAGATTCATAGGTCCACTTCGAATTCCAAAATCCATAACTATGTAAAATAATATACAACGAACACAGTCATAAGCACACAGGTCGGTTAAGAGAATAACGTTTAGTTAGACAGTAATTGATGTCCGAGTGATATGGATTACCTTGGAAAGTGCAACAATAACGTATAAGATTATAAATAAAGGTGACTTTTGTGATGTATAGAAATGTCATCATCTTTTTCTACATCATATCCGTACAATATTTGAACATGATGCGGCGGTTTCAATCCAGAAAATATCTTCTTTCCAGTCACGGAGTCTATGTATTCACCCAACTCAATCCGCTTTATAACATACAGTCTGAGAGGATTATCTCGAGGTTGTTCGTAAGTTTGAGAACCCACTAGTTTTTTTATATTTTTCAGCTTGGCAAGTTCGATGGTTCTACAATGAAAATAAATTACAATAATGTAAAAGAGAGCACCAAAACCAAAATTTCGAACTACCGTTTTTCAAGTTCTTATTATTAAAACTAACTAAAATGCCAAAGTTTAAGGGGATTGAATTTTGTTTTTCTATAATCTTCCAATTTTATAGTTGCATAGGAGTGAATAATATGTACAAATGATATATACGCTTACCTTCGAATCAATTCATTCACCACTCCCGATCGACGATATTTTGGATGAACTGTTGCCATTTTCAGCTCCCAGTACTCAGTTGTTCCTAAAATGACAGGTAGATCATCCTTTCCGAGTTGTTTGATTAGCTATGGAGACATCTAAAAATATATGAATAAATTTCATGCCCGGTAAATATATTTTAGTGAAAAATACGAGACTAAATATAATCGGTATAAAATGAATAGGCTTTAATTGTTGTCCATTTCATCTCTCCATTTCTCTAAACAATAATGTTCATAGAAGATTCATTGTTGTCATTAATTAAAGTTTGGATAAATCAACCTTTTACACCACGAGATCCTAGTAAATTGACTACATATGCAATTAGCGTAACGTATGTAATATATATTGATGGCATTGAAAAAACTTGATGTTAGAAATATTATTTTATATTTACCCGATAAACAGCACTTTTATTTTTATTTTCCTGTGACTTCAGCGCTTTTTCATTAAATAGTTTTTCTCTTTCTTCTTCATGTTCAACATTAACAACAACTGCAACTAATTGATCTGATTCATCGAACGCCCCGAGTGAATTTCCTTGTCTCAAAAATGGCTAAAGTGCATAAACAGTTTCATCAACAATTGAAAATCACGGGTCCACCAACACAAATGGTCATCTACATCAGGGCTTCCCATAAATTTCATAAATTGAAATTTTTGCGGCCCTTGTTCACGTAATGCTAAACAGTTCGAAATATGTATTTTTAATATTTTATTGACACAGCTAATTCTCAAATTTAAGTAGGCCTACTCAATAACAAAAACAAGCACATATTTACTAAGGTTAACTGGTGCAAATGATTTTTGCTGCATAAAAAGTCCAGCCGTGGCTCAATGTTTGTATATTACGGCATGGTTCTTATCCGGAATTGTTACTCACTCTTATTGATCAAATTTAGCACAAGGCAGCGGTTTGTGCGACGTCAAATTATCAAGGAAACTTGAGGCGCACCTACACAAAACATATGCTGCCTCAAAAAAAAACACAATTTTGTCGTCGTTAATGTGTACTTTATGCCTTTTGGGTTTTATAAACATGTAGGCCTAATGAATAAAGGCAAAGGTTAACTTTTATTTCGTATCCCTGCCTGGTTTTTCTTTAAAATGCTAAAAAATCACCCATGTTCGATAATCTCGGTTCAGCAAATGAATAAACCGCAGCCTACGAAATTGCAACTCTTCTGTTACGAAACAATAGACCCTACGTAACAGAAAGTGAACAACATAGAATGGTAAAATGAATTTGATTCATAAACACATCATTTGCAATAATGAGAAAATAAAATACATTCAGAATAAATAATATATGTGAAATATGCAATGAGAAAATGAATGCAAAATCCGAAAATGAGACTGAACCTGAATTTTAAAAGTACAACAGATAGAGTACTTTGTGTAAATTTGGTGTTCTCTTTGAGACCCCTAAAATTCGTTTCGCGGCCCTTTCGAGGGCCGCGGCCCCTAGTTTGGGAAGCCCTGATCTACATGCCTCCCAGGTCAAGTGTACACATGCATTAGAAACATTTGTAAACTCAAGCTGGACATCAAATATTGGGCCATCCAATCCCAACGTTTTTATGTCGGGCTTGAGTCGTAGCTCAATTACAACGTTATTAACAAACACACACACACACACACACACACACACATATATATGTCAGCTACCGAAGACGGCCGCAAGTGGTCTCAAACAAATTTAAACGTCCATGGCGAAATGATATTTACTTCGACCCGTGAATAGTATTCATCCCGTAGTTCACCATTTCCTATTCCAATGTGTTTTACAAGATGATTTGTAGGAATATACTGTTCTTCCAAAAGTTTACGAACAGCTGCCGAATCATTTATTGTAAGAATTCTGTAACGGAGGTTCAAGCTCAAAGCTATTACCAATTTTTCCCAAGATACAACCCGGGTACAATTTTCAACAACAACCACTTGTGTGTTTATCTAATATATTGTTTCCCATTTCTTCTAAAATAAAAGTTTGTTCACAATTTTCTTTTCCTTAATACCGACCGCGTTTAATAATAACTACATTCCATTGTAAATTTTACTTACTGACACTTTCTGTGCGTGTTCGTGTATTATATAAGCTACGTGTTTGTTAGTTCACTGCAACATATACATTTAAAGCAGAAAGACGCGCTCTCATTTCGTCGAGGGGAGCTCTCGCTATACATTTTACTAAACAAAATCTAACGTAAATTAATTTTATTAGTTTGACGTAGTATTTGTCATATTATTATTATATATAAATTACTGAAAACTTATAGTAAACGAAATAACAGAATAACAGAATAGCTTATTGAACAAAAGTACAGTGCCAGGTATATACTGATTTCAGCCAATATGAAGTTAATCATTACCAACTGGCAATATGTTCGTCATCTGTGTAACCTGATGTACACTTGTGTGAGTTTATTCAAACAAATCGCCAGACGTGATCAGTGCACAAGCACTGCAGGTGAGGATACATCTATACATCTATACAACCTTTCCCTTTTTCTCTAATGCTTTTCCGATCGTTTGAACAAAAGAATAAAACTATGCGTCATCATCTACGTTATATCCATAAAGAACTTGTACATGATTCGGTGGTTTCAATCCAGAGAATAACTTTTCTCCTGTTTCAGAGTCTATGTATTCACTCAGTTCAATTCGCTTTATAACATGTAGCCCGCGAGGATTTTCTCGTGGTTGTTCGTAAGTTTGGAAACCGACAAGTTTTTTGATTCCCTTGCGCTTGGCGTGTTCAACGCTTCTGCAGAAAATATTCAAGATTTTAATTCCACCTCCATTGTTCAGTTACTTTTATCCCAACAAGAAGGTCTTGCAGCCTACTGCGAATATTACGATTCACATTATCAAATAATGCTCATTAAGAATGCGATATTGATCAATTCACGTGAAACATATCTGTCAAACTATAACAGCAAAACTAGAATAGTCATAATAATTATTTTACATATAATCAAAACGAATTTTTGGTTATATTGTGCATATGTTCAGCATGCCAATCGGTCGGCTCCGCTTAGAAGGCGCACGTTCGTTTTTTGAGAAAAAGGGGATTTAAAGGGGGTTTTAAAATCCGTAAAATACGATACTTGCTGCATTTCAACTAAACAGCATGAAGTGTTTTCAATTCAGATCCAGGAAACCACTATTCGAAATTCTTGGAGCATTTTGGATTCGGCATAGCCTACACGATTTTATAAACTCCTGTTGAAGTGGCGGAATACGGTTGAATAACGCAGGTGCACAATAGATTAAGGTGACTTTATTTATCACGAATAATTACATTCGAGTGTCGACCTTGCGCAAATGGTAATCATTTCGTTTTCTATTTAATTGCAGATAACTTCGTTTTCTATTCAGACAAATAATCTATTTTTAGAAATGTATATCATCAAACAAGTTACTCTTACTTCCAAAATAACTCCGTTGCCACTCCAGAATCACGATATTTTTCGTGTACTGTTGTCATTTTCATTTCCCAGAATTCAGCTGTTCCGAGAATGAGAGGCGATTCATTGACTACGAGATATTGGAGAGGCTGAGAATTGATTTTAAATATATAAATCTTTTGCGGAACCTTTTTGAATCTCGTAGTTAAGGGATTAATATTTGGGAGGAAATTGCTAAAACACCTGAACGATTGTTGATTTTTCGTCCATCCAAATATAAGATTTGGATGCTGATATTTTCATACCCAAACATGTATTGGTACCCAAACAGGAGGCCGTTTTTGCTATGTGATTAAGCTATCTAAAAAAGCTGAAAACTCGTTTTTCAAAAATATATGAATAACGCAAATAGCATTGACAAATGTTACAGTAGAGGACGATTTTCCATTGACAAATGTTACAGTAGAGGACGATTTTCCAGCTTCCGGCATCGTAGCCTGATGAGAAGATGGATTCAGTCGCTCTTTTGTTTTATTTACACAATTATTTATAATTTTGTAAACTCACGAAATCGGATGGAAAACTCAAGTAGTATAGCAGGCTAACAGATTTTGGCCGACTGCTCATCGGTACATGAATTCCCACGAATGGCAGTAATAAAGGATTCTTGTTTCTAGGGCGTACAACAAATACAAAGTATGCTTTCAAGACTGGTTGATACCAGTATCGTACCTGGCTATACCATATTGATAGGTAATAATATCTACGCTACTAGTATGCAAACTGGCCAGTGATATTTTTAAATTTTGATCTATCGCGACTGGTCCTCCATTCATCAAACGTACAGTCATACTGACATATGGAACAAATATCTGAATAAATATTTTCACAGAAATACTCATGCGAGTTGAAACAGAACAAGATGTAGAGGTTCGCTATAATATTAATTCTCTTTCCGACTTCCTTCTTTTCTGTGATGCAAATAGAAATCTTATCCTTGTATTTTTTTTTATCATGAATGAATTTGACGCGACTAATTAGAATAATAGCTCTCAACTCTTCCAATAGACAAGGGACACTTCTCCTATTTCTAGCGTTTTTGTCCAAGGAGAGTACCAAATGAAATAGAGTACTGTTATCACTACCAAAGTTGCTAAACTTCAATAAAGCATGAAATAGGAGCATTTGGACTTTTCGTTAAGATATTCCTATTGTCTGTATTGCGAGTAAAGATTGTCACATAAGTTGAATAAAAATTAAATATTTGAATTTAGGGTAAGTTTTAAATCATTGAATGGTACGCAAAAATCGGCGCACAGTTTTGACACAAGTTTCGCACAGATTTTAACTTTTTGATATTTCAAACACTTTTGACTGGTTAATTTCAACGTCCAATAAAATTAATTTGAGTAAAATTGTGTGAAATATAAATACAACTGTCACTTGTTGAAGCTTCTATATATATCCTCTTATTGAGAGAACATACCGCAATTTCATTTAAATGGATTATTTTTCATTTTAGGTCAGAGCAAAACGCATATTCATAAGCACATTTGAATCAACTTTATCACATACAGATAAATGAATAAATGCATTTTGCGCAGCTGTGTTTATAATACTGTACTGCACAACCTAACGTTATTGTAATTAATAGGAAAGCTCGAATATATGTTTATATAGGCTACAATTAACTCCTAGAATGTTTGGCGGATTTTCCGCCACGACAATGTATATGGAGAATGGAGTGGTATCTTTGCACAGTAGTCATTTGTTTCTCTAATTATTTATCATTATAGACTCATACTCACCCGATGAATGGCCTGAAACTTTTCGTGTTGTTTCAATGTCTTTTTGAATATTATTTTCTCTTCTAAATCATGTTTGACATCAACTGTAACGGCAACCGACTGCCCCGATTCATTGAATGCACCAATTGAGTTCAGTTGTTTTAGGAATGGCTGAAAAAAAAAAGATTTCAATATTTTCTTTCGTCTTAAACTTTCTGGTCGATCTTATAGTTTCTACGGTTTTTGATGTTCAGCGGAAGACTGAAATTTAGGTTTCTCTGGTGTTAGATGTTCAACAGCAAATTAAAAAAAGCCTATACATTCGCATCAAACTTTCCTTAAATATAAAACGCTGGAAACTCTGTAGCAGTCCAATATAATATATTTTCAATAATAAGATATTTCATGATGATGGAGAGCACACGATACATACAATTATTATTATTCATTCTGAAAATTTACAGAAAGTTCATTCATTCATTAAGTTGATTCATACAGCACAATATATTTTGTTTGATTAAACAATAAACCATGGAAATGTGTATTATATAACCCAACACGTGAATAAAATGTTTTCCGTAGATCTTCGTTTTTTATTCCAAAATACTTTGTGAGAGGGAACTTGGGTGTGTAGTGCTCTTGCAAAAGTTTACCAACTGATCAACATCATATGAAGTAAGAATTTTAAATTTGTTTTTGAAGCCATTGAGACATTTGGTTGAAGTCATATATATATATATATAAACTAGAATAAACAATAAAACTATTATTCATTCATTAAATAAAACATCAAATTTAATTGACTAAAGAAATATACTCGATACTGATTATTTTTTATATATTTTATCGGCACACAACCGCCTGTAACTTGTATTTCACATTTTTCCCCAAAGCCATTGAATATAAAAAAAAATGAACCAGAACAGGCAATAAAAGCATTATTCTTCAACCAAATTACCTCCACTTGTTTTACATGGGCTTGTTGAAAGTATTTAGAATCATCTTCATCTCATCTGAATTTTGCATTACGTCTACATCTCTACAAGTAATAATGTGAACTCTGGTAGATAAAACTACATTCACTAGCTACCGCCTACTAGCTAGTACGGCGTTACCTTTTTATAATATTGTTACCCCTAAATTGAATTACCTAAGATCAATTACCTCTTTCAATAAAAACAAAAATTCCTGCGCAAAATTTATCAAATTTAATACCAACAAGAAGGTATCGATAAACACAAAAACAACGGGAAGGATGACACAGTTTCTCCGATATCAAACGAATAAACCTAGGCAAAGTGGGCGAAAGCATCTAATATCAACTTCAATCATAAGCTTGTTTCTATATGTATTTTTAATATTGATCCTTACCTGAAAAGATGAGATATTCATGTTGGGGGCCAACCGGAAATAGTATGCCAAAGCTAACTTACACAAAAAGGAAAATATGTTGGTGAATAAAATTCTAGTCAACAATTCGTTTTTTAAATATAATACTATCGTCTATTGTACATGCTAATCCAACTTTAGAATGCTAAACTTGTGCTCCACCAGCGTTTAATCCTACAACCTGTATAGCGAAGTATTCATTGTTATTATTTTTTCTATCATGCATACGCTTTGGGCTCTACTAACCGCATGACTGACTACATTGTGATGTCGTCTGAATTATCCTCCAAAATATCAACTTGAATATCGAAGATTAATCAGTTCAAGTGCAGAGAAAGACGTTGCATGTAGCAAACATTAAAAAGAGCAATCATTTTCGTTTAAATTTAGTGTAGTTCTAAATGGAAATACGCATAGCAATGTAGAAAGTAATCAATTTTATTGAAAAAAAACTTTGAGGTTCTGGTTCCTGTAATCCGTGGTTTATTTGACAGGATCGTTTTGTTACTATAGTTAATTAAATATACGACTTTTTTAACCGGTGGTTTTTTTTTTCAATAAAATTATAGTTTGTTAATTATTAATTTAAAATTATAGTATAGTCAATTATGTGGTCATCATCATTCTCCAAAACTTGAACTTGATATCAAGCATATCTTATGGCAGATATTTTTATTAAATAATATAGGTAGTTACACTTTCATTACTTATATATATATAACTATTGTGGTTCATTTTTGCCAGATAATTTCAGAAAAAAGTTGAAAAAATAATAAATGCAATTATTTGGAACACTAACAGCAACAGTTTCATTATTTATTTAAGATTCATTTAAATCATACAATTCAGATGAAGAACGTGCCTAATTTTTAGTCGTAAGTGTTGAAATAAGTGTTCTCCAAGAAACCTGGCCAGGTATTATCCAAACAGCAAAAAATAAATATTTCCAAACTTGAATGTTACATGACTGCTCAAACTTCAGTATCTAATTTACTATTTCTTCCAAACGCGATTCTCCGCTTGCCTAAAATTAGATTTTGTAGGATCGTTTGTCAGTCTAGACCAGGGTTGCACAATCCCAGTGATGAAAAAAAGCCAAATCAAGCCAGAAAAAGCCAACAATTTTAACTAGTACAAAAACCTCATGATTTAACAGAATTGGAACACCTAGCACAATAGTGGATTTGCACAGTTCGCAGTATGCTGATTTGGAGCCAACAAGTGATTTAGTGAGCCACATCAAATGCTAAATTTTACTAAAATTTGTAGTTTTGGTTGCTGTCATGACAATTTCCACTTCAGCACAATCAAGGGTTACAACTAAGGAAAATTATTGAATGGCAGAATTGAAATATATATCCGACATAATACAGTCAAGCTGACATCTACATAAAAAATTTAAAAACATCAAAAAGCTAAAAAAGGAAATATTAAGCGGACAGCATTATTAATTCAGATATATACAATACACCATGTGAACCGCTTTAGGACGGATAAATGTACATGTTTCTATTTGAACTTGCGATATATATACCTCAGAAAATTTCCCGATATTTTAACTATTGAAATTTTTTTATGATTGTTTCGAAGTGTTGGCGAATATAAACTGGTTCACATGTTTGAAGGCATCATTTTTACTAGAATTATTTAACCGCGTGCCGCTTGCACAGATAGTCTACTGATATATGATTCTAGCCTAGATAACCACGTCGTTTACGAGAATTCTGATTACCGCAACCAAACTAAAGCTCCTCGGAAGGCAAAATAACAATTACTGAATTAACGCATACAGCTATTTTTTGAAAACATAAATAAAAACTGACAAATGACACTGTAACGCAAAACTATGAAAACGAAGCCTGCTTGAACATCTGTCTGAGCGGCTGCAAATATTCAACCTAATCGATAACAAATGTATGTCATTGTTGGCTTCTTTTTGAATGATTGTGTTTAAGGGAAAATATAAATGTTGAGTAGCTGAGCTTGCTATTGTTGCACAATAAATACCTGTATTGTATTTTAAATTATTTTAATAATAGACAGTAGAATGAACATCAAAAATGGAAATTCTGACGCCAAACGTGTTTTAAAAAAGCCAAAATTGTGAAATTTGGCGTTAAAAGGGCCAATATGGCAATCCTGGTCTAGCCACGCGATATTCGGCACTTCATTTTTAAACCTTGGCAGAGGAAAAAATTGCATTTGTTACGTGATAATATGCTTTATCGGGCTGGCCTAGACTCAAATACTTTATGTGTATATTGTATTTGTATTGTATTGCGCATGTAAATTACAGTATTCTCCCTGTTGCAAAACACACAACTGTTTCGAGGCAGTAATTGGGGGTCTTTCAATATAATTCACTCAACATCAGACGCGATCGACTGCTCGAGACGTGGCGATCGACCGGTCGATGGCGATCGACGTGTTGGACGTATACACCCCTGGTGTATATCATGTGTAATCGATGTAACGTTTGCTTATGTTTGATTAGCAGGGGTCTATATAATTCAACGATATAAAGTTTTTTTTGCTAAGATATCTGCTCCATAACAATTGGTAAACACAAATTTAGAGTAAATGGGACTTATCTCATATCCAAGTTGATGGCGACAAGTGTGACGTTCGATAGTAAACGGACGAAGGCTGTCATAACATAACATAGGCCCTAGAAATTTAGTCAATTTCAATATCCGATTAAGTATGTGATTATTTGTTAATGTGATGTTATAAAAATGTTTCATTCATAATGCTATTGTTACATACTTTCAGAATAAATCGTTGCTCACACCTATATGATGATATTTTGGATGGAATATTGTCAATTTTATTTCCCAGTAATTAGCTGTTCCCAGAATCACGTGAAGATTGTCACGTCCAAGATATCTCATCAACTGAATGTTTAAAAGTAGTAGAGTTTCGTTTCGTTTTTGATTTGCAAAAAGCAAACATATGAAAAAAAGCAATTAGCATACATAGAACATGGGTGACACAAATTTGTAGTCACTAGTTTTCGTATATCACCAAAATATTCTGCGCCAACTTTTAATGCATTTCTGAAAGAAAACTTCTGTAACGTGACAAGTTGCAGGCAATAAACAGATCAATTATATTCTAATATCATAAATGTATTATCAATATTATTGGAGTTAGTTGCATTGCCCCTATCATTATTAGATTGAGAAGTGCCTGTTTTCGGACACGAAGTCGTTTTGTTATTATGTTGTTGTATGACGTTTTATTTATTTCAAAAACTTTCGTGTGGTTTCAGGCATTCGTTTTTTCTGTGTGATGACGTCATCAAAATTAAAATTGCGCACCTAGTTTCAGTTCCAAGTTCGCGATCCAGTGTCCAGGCGAAGTCGAGAACACTGCGGTACCGGTAGTGTACTGTGAAAGTTTGCATACCCTTTGTTCCTCGTTTTGGGCTTCGTGTCCATATATTTGAGCATTGCTCTCTTGTATCATCAAATCTAATGACTGAAATGTTTGCATTACTGAGCCATTTTTTGACCCGCGAGTCATTACTTTGCCAATCGCCCTTCCTGACTTAAAATTACAATTCAATAATGATTAATAACAAATTATGTCTGTCTGTGAGATGAATATTGAATGTATTTCACTTCCAGCCAAATGCTATCCGCTCTATCAGACGACGTTCCATCACTCTTACTTCCTCGCTAACTCCTACCCGGCAGACAGCCGCTTCACTTCTTTCAAGCAGTGCTCCTTCTTTTTGCAACTAACTAACTTTAAGCTAAGTATCTATTCCTAATCTCGGCCTATTTGTGTCTCTTGGCCCGCTCCATCCCCTAGCTGCTCTTGTCTTTCCTGTTTTTCTAACTAACCGCGGCCTGCCCTTTCCCTCGACCTTTTCTTACCTAATCTGAGGTTTATTTTTTTTTTCCTCAATTCTTCTTGCGAACCGACGGCTTTGTCGTCTGTGCCATTTTTTCTCATTTTCTCTAATCTTGGTCTCTGTGCCATTTTCCCTCAACCAAAATTACCAATCTCAGTTGTCCAACAACTCTTATCATCTACCCAAGACTAACTTTGGGGTCAGATCGCCCTTTCCTAACCTTGGATGTCTCTTTCTCGGTCTGTAACTTACTTTCGTGGCCCGTTTGCGTCACTCTAGGGCCAGTCTGTCTGTACCACTCTCGATCAGTCGTCATTTTCCTAAATTTGTTCCAATTTTCTTCTCTTGACCGCTCCATTTTCTGACCTGACCCCATTTACGTTGGTTTCTTTCTTGTCCTCTATCAATCATCCTCCGGTAGATTAATCCCGGATTGCCCATTTTCTAACTTTGGTTCTGTTCGTGTCTTTTTCTTGACCTATTCTTAACCTCGGTGCACGAATGCTCACTCTCTAGTTACATCTCAACTCAGTGGGATTTGAACCCAACCTTGCACCTGGCCTCGTGTTTACCATATCAGCACCCTTCTATGCGCCACCGGTACAGATGGGTGATGTAGTGAATAAAATCTTTCCTAATTAACATGTTTTATTAACGTCAAACTTCTCTACCTTTAAATATTAGCAAGAACTGATTTGTTTTGTCGGATAGACAAAGTGGCTACAACGTAGCTTATCACGTTTTACAAGGAATGTCAAATCTAAATATCGTTATTTTTCATGGCAATGTATAAAACACGGAAGTAGTGACAACGAAACTTTGTCAAGTTCGAATAATTTCACGATTTAGATTGTTTGCGTGCTAGTGTAACTCATAAATTGATCAAAATTGCTTTACGTCGCCAAATTCTACATGATGCGATTTCATTTCGCCAAGAAGTCTTTGCAGCAGACTACAACAATGGTCTTCGAATGTAACTCCAAAATTGTCGCCGTCTGCTGATTAATATCGTTTTCCTCGCCACTACGTGATTTATGAGCAGGATTCTCACCAAATTTTAACAGTAAGACCATATTCGGATGCTATATATTCGTATTTTATTATAATCATCTTTTGAGAAGTAATGAGATCAAAAATGTCGGGTAATGTTGATGTGATCTTTCCACTATTTACTGATTATCACTGGCCAACAAAAAAAAATTTTTTTCATGGAGCCTAAGATGTTTTAAACGTTTTTAGCACATTTGAGGGCGTTGATTTCAGAAATGCTGTTACTTTTTTTCTGTCAGCTCTAGTTTTTCCTCTATGGTATATCCCTCACTGCAGGATGCCGATAGCTACAATAAAGATAGGCAAATGAAGAAACAACATTTTTCTGTAATTTTATTGAACATATCCATGGAATCTCACCAAAATATTCACAATTAAAGCTGGAACTTGTAGTAAATGCTATCTAATAGATGTCATCAGCTATAAATTGACGTTTTACTGATTTTCTAGAATGAGGGGCCTCGGCATCATCGCGCTTGATAGACCAACAGTAGTCTGCAAGCATGGTGGAATCCCAACGACCTTGATAGCGAACTTCCATGTCGCTGATATCTTGATGGAAGCGCTCCCCTTGCTCATCGCTCACATCACCTAGATTTTCTGGAAAACGGGCAAGATGGCTGTGCAAAAAATGTAACTTGATGCTCATATTTGCACCCAGTTGACGGAGACTTGTAAGTAGTGTTTCAACAAGCTCTTTGTAGTTGGGCGCCTTCGTTTTTCCCAAAAAGAATTTTACTACATTTGTAAACGCCGTCCAAGCCCTCAATTCTGTTGAATTCATAAAATTACAGAAAGTCACATCATTCATTAACTTTCGAATCGGGGGTCCATCAAAAATTCCAGCTCTTAATTTTCCTGTGGTTAGACCTGGAAATTTCCTGCAAATATATTTGAAACAGTCGCCATCTTTCTCAAGAGCCTTCACAAACTGTTTCATGATGCAAAGCTTTATGTGGAGAGGAGGAAACACAATTTTTGAACGGTCGACCAAAGGAGGAGCCAAAACATTGAGAAAGCCAGGAATCAACTCACTGCGCACTTGCCAATCTTTTTTTATCCAATGCTCTGTTCTTGCCCTGCTGTCCCACAAACACAAGAAGCAAGGAAATTTCGTGTAGCCACCTTGTAGCCCAAGGAGAAATCCAACCATTTTCAAATCGACACATATGATCCATTGGTGCTGTCTGTATGAAATTTTTTCCAGTGCAAATTTGATTTCATCATATATTTCTTTGAGGGTTGTTGAATGACCTAGAGGAACTGATCCAAATAAGTTTCCATTGTGAAGAAGAACACATTTTAAACTTCTTTTGGAACTGTCTATAAAAAGGCGCCAATCTTGAGGATCATATTGTTGGACACCAAGCTGCCGCAGCAGGCCGGCAACGTTGTTACAATATACTATGTCTTTTTCCTGAGTGAAATATGACAAGAATTCAATATGACGTTTTCTATAGAATGTTATGAGAGTTCCCGGCTGAAGTAGATTTTTTTCATTGAGTCTTGGAGCTAGAAGTTCAGAAGATTCTTTGGAAAGGTTGAGATCTCTAGTCAGATCATTAAGTTCTTCTTGGGAAAAAAGCTGTGGCAGTGAAGAAGAAGGAAACCAGATATCTGAATCAGTGCCCTCACTACTTTCAGTGGACAAAACGGAGGTTTGATATTCTTCAGAGCAAGGCAATTCCAATTCGGGCAAGCCTTCAAACACTGGAACAGGAATTTCATTGCAGTGTGGAATTGGCCTAATTGCAGACTCGAGGTTTGGATAAACCAACGATTTTCTGTTCTTCCTATTGATTCCCTTAGTGTTTACTGCACAGAAGAAGCAGTCATCAAAATGATTTTTCGATTCCCGTCAGACCATTGGAATACCAAAGCGGAGTGACTTTCTATCCTTTTTTGTCCACTGTCAAAGATGTTCAACACATTGCTTGCATACAATATGGGGTGCCCATACCTTATCTTGATCACCCAGCATTACTTTGAAGTAGGCAAGATAAGCACACCTCACAAATTTACTGATCCCTTTCCTGTTGGATTGCAATGTATATTCTCCGCAAATATAGCAAAATACATTTGGATTGTTTGAACAATGTCGCCTAAGAGAAGATGTAGCCATACTTAATTTTTGCTCTAAAAATCTGCAACTCAACCAAAACAATGCAGCCTATTTATTTCATGTCTGACTTCTATATATATAAAATTTGACTTCTATAAGGCGTGTGATGTCATAATCGTTTGGCATACATCACAATAAAAACTTACACTTTTAATTATAACGCTAGAAATACCCCTAATTTTAAGGAAAAAAGGTATAAAATGGCAAATATTTCAAAAATTTGACCTGATGAGAAAAAACGAGTATGATTTTTGGACTCAGCACCCCCAAATTAATCTAAATCAGCTTAGAAACCTTGGGCACCAAAAAATGTGTTGGCCAGTGTTATAAATGGTCGGATATTGTGAATATTCCCACATTTTACCCATTTATTTTAATTATATATTTAGTGTATTGTTATAAATCCAAAGAGGTAATGTCGAAAATAGTCTGTTTATCATTTCGCAATTCTATGTGAAGAAGTAACCACACAAATATAAAATTTCATTACGATTGAAAAATCATTTCGATTCAAAATCATAGTCTAAAGTCAATCCAATTAGTATCTTTATCACAGTCGGGTCAGAAAAAAGATCACATACGCCCTATCAACGAACTTGAGTTTCTCGCGTCTACTTGAAGGGCAAAGTCATCAGCTATTTTCTGAGTGGTCCACCTTGGAACCTGTTTTGCCCTGGGGTGTACAGTTGGAACTGCACCATATAACAACCGCAAAAGATTTGAAGTAATTAGAAACACTGGAAATATCTTGGGTGTGGCAAAAATTGAGCTGAAGTCGAAGTTCTCGTATACCAAATTCAGTAATCTCACCACGATCGCGCGAAGAAAATAAACCACGCGAACCGTTCCTAATCTTTTTGAAACATTTTGAATGATTTGCATCGGTAATTTTCGTACACTGCAATTTTTATGCTATGCGAATGAAAAAATACAAAAGTTCATAATTTTAAATTATGCTTCATGTCTTGAATCTATGATTTTGTCGTTCTTACTTCTATCAGACAACTGTCACTGAAGCGAGTCAGTTGAGGTATTTTAAGTACGGTTTTGATATAGAGTTCGTAAACCTGGTTATTTCCCTGTTACACGAAACTATATCCTATCATATACTAGATTTATAAAATGAAAAGGATCACAATTGGTGTTTTGTTATATTAGAAATAAATGATAATCAGTTTTATAGCAATATCTTGTTTTTATTAACACAAACGGTTCGAATAAAATAAAGTTGCCAACTTGAAAATATTGATATATTGGCTGTGATCTTGTTTCATCCAACACGTTTAAATGGATTGATCTTTCTGAAATGTTCTTTCTGAGAAATCGATGAAATATTGACCTAATATTAAGCTGAAGAATTCTTGTCATCCTTAAGATTATTAATTGCTGTTTGGAACGTTATCAAGTTCAAAAACGAGGTGTATCCTTGTCGAGGTCCAGCACAGCCTTTTCCTTCATATTTCACACCAGCAAGATACCAGTCACAGCTACATTTGCTTTGGCACACCAACAATCCCCCGCTACTTCCTTTGTATCAAGAATAAAAAATCCTCACTTATCTGCTTCACATAGCTTTTTTTTAATATTTTACTCATAAATATAAGTACAATGATTTTTTCTAGGGAAGGATTAATAATTATTAATGCGACTGATATTAGATTTTAAACAGAAGGCCGAAAATACAATCAGATTTAAAAACAGGTAAACGCGAAATTTCCCTTCAAAGGGTCTATTCGTAGAAATATAATTAATTAAACGTTTTATAAAGGATGTTATGATTTTACCACAACAACCATTGCTTGTTATAGATGTGAGGTTCTATCGATCCGTATGATTATGAATTTGATTTGCAAGGTCGGCTCGACTGGAAGACAGCATAATTTGATAGCTAATTGACCATACATTGTATTATTTAGAAGGCTGGCCCAGTTAGATGAGCCACATCATTTCTTTATTGGCGAGTAGGCTATATAGGATTTGTTACATGTAAAATTTAGGTATTTTGTTAAAACTTTTTTTGCATTTATTATCATGAATACCGTTAATACCTTCCTACGCGGGGGAGGCCAGTACACTGATGATTGTATCAAATCTAATATAAAAGTATATAAAGTGAAAATACATTAAATATATCATCCCAAACCTAAGCAATCTTTGTTATTCAACTTCTGGTTTCCAGCACATATTTTTACTTGGTATTCATCGATTCCATAATCGTGGTCATCTGCAAGTGTTCTGCACTCTGAATTGTTTGTGACTGTCAGTGGTATTTCGGTTAAAGAATCGTATAAACCTTAATACAAAATAATGTTAAGGTCAAAGAAAATATTCATTACATCAATATTTTATAGTAAAATAGCAAATTGGATTCGTGAGCGTTGTCCCTATGAGTACTCATTAGAACTGTAGGTGTGTTTCGGATACGCTTCATATATGTACCTGAATATTAAGACATGGGCATAATATATTAAATATATATAATAAAAATTATAGGAAAATTGAAATCAATATAAATCAAAATAAATATGTAAGGTGTCAAAACACAAACCATCAAACGAATCCCGTTTTACAAATCCCAGAGCCACGCATGTCTCGCCAATAGAAGGATTTTCTTCTCCAGACGTGCAAACTGGATGTATCAAGTCCATTGAAAATGGTAAGCTTTCGTTGAGTTGAAGTAAAGTAACATTATCCGGGGCACTTTTATGTCCAGAAATTGTGTGTAACTATAAGACAAATAGTTTGAGTCTAGTTTTCAAAATGATAGAAGAAATTTCAGTTTGATTCAAGTTGCCGATAGTTCCTTGTCCACATTTGGTCCAAATACCCTACTTGTACTGTCAATAGTAAAGATAAATTATTTTGTGCATCATACATTGTAGGACAGTACATAATACTGTATTATACAGTATTTGTCACTGAAGAAGCAATAGATTTATACACTCTTCAAACCATCCAAGATGTAAACAAGTACAAGTAATAAATTTGACAATTAATAGCCAGTTGAAACATAAAATGAGAAATAACATTTTTCGATATTTGCAAAACAAATATATAACACGCACCCCCATGTTTGTGATACCAAGTTTGACAATGAAAGTGCGTATTATACGCGGAGAAATATGGTAATCCTCGTTTCAGGCTTTTTGGTGCTGTTAGAAGGGTACCTAAGATTTATCGTTTATAGAGGAGGTTTAGTTATTACCTAGTGATTTAAAAAAGCACTAAAAATAAAACTAATATAGTTTTCCGAATGCCTAAACTGGAATCTTTATAATGAAATACTACAGTGCACCATGTTGAAGCATATTATCTGATTACAACTTGCACATCACGTACTTTTAATACATTTCGTCGAACAGAATATGGCGTAGACGTGAATCCCATCAATCCAACTTTCACTTGTAATTGTTTCAGATTCGATTTGATCACCACTTTTCTGCAATGTAGTCGATATGTATCGTAGCAATATATGAAACATAATATTTGTTTAAAATGTACTTTCACATAGGCCTACACATATATTTCCATTTATTGGAATAAATTTCTATGCTATAGGATAGGATAGGATTTACATATTTATCCCGGGGGAGAGGAAAGCCGATATAGGATAGGATAGGATTTACATATTTATCCAGGGGAGAGGAAAGCCGATAAGAAGGCTTATCCATATGGCGAACCACGGCCTCTCGTCCGGTTACCATTCCAAGTCGGGTATGGGATAAGTTATATTGTTTGTTTTCGGAAGCATGGACTTGGTGGTGGAGGAAGCCGTAACCGACCAGCGGTTACGTGAACCACACAACGAATTGAATTGAATTACCCTTGTAGCATTAATCAATTCAGAATTTTTTTTAAATGATAATATCGAGAGGCATATCACCCTCAGAATAAGATTAGCCTGTGCCGATTGGACTTCTATAAATAAATAGTGTTTGTAACGATTGTTGATCAAACATGTATCAATAATTGGAAAAAATACTTATATTGATTTACTTAATTACAGAACATACCGAACGCAACTCGTGGGAATCACAACCGAATTTTTATCAATAATAACCCCTGTACATTTTAACTTTCTCCCGGTGTAAAGTGCAGCCTGTAAAAATAATGATTTGATTAAACGCGATGTAAGATAGTAAAATGCCAATATATAATATAATATATATACTGTATAATTGAGTTATTGTTATCTCATTGAAGAATTTGGCTGAGCTGTAATATGAAATTCGTACCGTCCACGGCCATTTGTTTATCGGTCTTCGTGGTAACGAGGGGTATCGCGTCCACCCATCCTGTCCGCATTTGCCTAGAAAATTACCACAGATATAGGGATAATTAGTCTTTTCTTTGTGGATATTCGCTCACGTGTATTAAATCATACATCAAAAATAGAATTCAGATTTTTTACAGAATTTTGACACCATCATACGCAGTGTTTAAAATGATTAATTAGAGATTTTATAAAAATTCACACGCCTGGATATAATTATTTCTAGACTGATTTCAAGGTTTACTTTTTTGGTTCTCCGATTAAAAAAAAATAGTTATCATAAATAGTAGACGCAAATCGAAGTGTCACCGTGTGTAATATGGCAGCATTCGTTAGGATTGTGCATTTTTGAAGAGTAATTAATTGAAATCTCAGAACATGATGAACGATGACAGCTGAATCCTCCCTCAAAGTTTTTGCACCACTTCTTATTCGAGGGACATGGTGACAACAAACATTCATTTATATCTAAAAGAAAATGTTTAAACTTCATGAAATAAAATAGAATATATGCAGAATGACTAAACATTAGAACAGCGTTTCTGACTGCTCTTCTTTAGTGGAAAAGGATGGAAAGTCAATACAGCAATTCACAGAAATTGAAGACACAAAATTGTATGGGTTTTCTAAAAAAAGTAAATAAATTTGAAACCCACAATATAAAATGAATAGAGGGGTAGTAGGCTGCTGATTGCTAATAACCAATAATCACAGGGTACCATAGAAATATCACCTTGGCATGATTTTCCGTCTGAAGAAAGTTTGAAACCTGGATAACAAGTGCAAGTAATTTCACCGTTATCACTTTCGGTGCAACCATCTTCACAATCTCCACAATCGAGTTCTAAAATTGTTCACGAAATAATGAAAAGCAGTAGAAAGGTGGAAAAGACTAGGAAAAGTGAACAAGGTATGGGAGAAAACAAGAAAAAAAAATTGAAGAAGGCACGAATTTTCTTACCTGTGCAATTAAAACATGTTTTGAAACAATTTTCTTTCAAAAACACAACATATTCTGTCGAATTGCAATATTCTTTGATCTGTGCACAATAGCCCAGTTTATCTGAACATTCTCTTTTCTCGCATTCTGTTGCATAATCAGATATTATATATATATATATATAACACAGCTCACATTATATCATACACAACGACTAAATATGCGAGGAAGAGCTCCAGCATTTTCCCACCGTTCGATCAACCAAAACAAACTAATCAGAACTGCTTACAACGTCGGTACAGTATCAATAAAAATTTACGCAAATCTAATGATTTTGTTATTTCATTGCACAATGTTTATGAGCATTGCCGTGTAAGATATTTAATATTTATAAAAGACGGATTTGGACATCATGCTTCAGTTATTATGCTTGTTTAACCGTTTTCCCCGCTGATAAAATGTGAAGAATATAACTTCCAATGCTTCATTAGCCTTTTTGTGACTGCAATTATGGCAGATGCATTTCAGAGAAATATCATTCCGCTTAAATATGAAAAAATCTTAATATGTGTTTCACTCACCAACACTAACAAGAATTAACGTGGAAAGCAGTAGTACCCAAGCGATGCTGTAGAAAAATAAATTATTGTTGAGCTAAACATAATATGCAGTCTATTTTTGTTCACCAAAGATAGATCTATACTGACGCAAATATTTAAACATGGCACTTTAACACATTATTTTGAATTGTTCAAAAAATTATATATATATATATATATATATGCTTGTTTTGTCTTGTGTTTGTTTTGTTACCAGGTCAATTATTAGACTTCGATTTATATCATATCGTCCAATCTTTTTAAATAATCAGGCAAAAGTGACTATTTTGCATGTTATTATTTCGTAGACCTTGTATAAAAAGTGGTGACCGTACATTTGAACCCACGTACATTTGAACCAATGTGTATAACCGCGGGTTCAATCTATATTCGGGTGCTAAAACCCATGAGTTCGGGTTAGTATGGGTTCAAATATCCGTAAAAGAAAATCATACGTGCAATCGTCGTAGGTTCAAATGTGATAAAACCATAAAAAGTACCGATGAGAGTGTACTTACCTTTGAGGTGAAACTAACATACTTCGTCAACAATCGTGTCCGAATTGTTACGTGAATAAGACAATATATATGTTATTCTATTTAAATCATAAAAGCGGAAATATTTTACACGCGTTACATATAGATCGTCTGCGGCAGGGGTTCTCAACCTTTTTTCTGTCAAGTACCCCCCGAGTCACGAAGCAAGCAACGCGAACCCCCGTAATCAGGCATCGAACAAAGTTGTGATAAATTGAATAACAATTTGTTGCACGACAATTTATTAACCATATGTAACTAAATTAAATCTCTGCGTTGATAATATTGCCCTTGTCGTCTGCCTAACTAATGAATTCTCAAAATCGTTCCAAGTTTTAATAAGCAAGATCACTTTCTCTAATGCTCGTTGCACGCTGTCTTAGAGATTTCAGTTTTCCTACAAAGCCGTGAATTCCACATTGTTGCGTCACAATCACAATAACGCAAGATCAGTGGAAATCTACGTTTCAATTGACATGCTTTTTCCTTTGGTTGTAATAAAGGATAATAAAAACAACAACACACAAAAACTCGACTGCCTTCCAAGTACCTCTGGAAATCTTCTCGTGAACCCCTGGGGGTTCGCGCACCCCAGGTTGAGAACCCCTGGTCTAGGGCATAGGTTCTTAAAGTGCTCCGCGAGAAAAACCCAGGGCTCCGCGAGTTATTCGATTACTTTTCAAAATACTGACTAATTTTGTAACTGTTCAAAGACGCAATAACAGCTTTGATAAAATCTGACAATATAGCCTCAAAATATGGCAAAGTGGCGGAATTAAAAAATGGCATTATTTATAGGCAGGAGCGCAGCCAGGATTCTTAAGAGGGAGGTGGTTTAAAAATGGAATCGGAAATTTCCGCGTAACATTCTTCGCGATTAAAAAAACGTATAACGAGATTTCTGTAACTGTTCAAAGACGCAATAACAGCTTTGATAAAATCTGACAATATAGCCTCGTAATATGGCAAAATGGCGGAATTAAAAAATGGCATTATTTATAAGCAGGAGCGCAGCCAGGATTCTTAAGAGGGAGGTGGTTCAAAATTGGAATCGGAAATTTCCGCGCAACATTCTTCGCGATTGAAAAAACGTATAACGAGATTTCTGTTGCGTAAAATATTCAATCCATGTCCGATGCGAGCATTTAACGTGTCTCGTCGTTATAATGTAGTTGTGCTCATCGTTACTCACGTTTGATTCGAGATTACTATTAGGATTACTAAAATGAAAGAATATTATTCTAAAATAACATAAAATATGTGATAAACTGTCAACAATAAATAAATTGGAGTCGTATTTTTGCGATCTTGGGATTTGTCAAACTTGATTTGTCCTTTCGCACTTGAGATTATTTTTAAGCAAGATATCGCCGTTTAAAAAATCACAATGTCTGGGCAAAATACGAACAATTGGAATTTATTTTATTGCATTCGGCTCGGTAGTTTCAAAATTGGGAAGGTACATCGCGCGCACAATTGACTGTGTTTCGGTTTCGCACTAACTACGATGAAAACCTAACATAACACCAAATTTTGTGATTTAGAATGTCTACAAAAGCGTTTTCAATTCTATGTGAGTCTGCTGAAACCAAACTTGTGATCTTTCATTTTAAGTTTCGCATTTCGTCGCCGATGACTATAATATGGTAACATGTTTTTCACATTGAACTTATAATTCCCCACGAAAACAAAAAAACAATGAAGGTCGTCATTGTCTAACAATTCATGTATATGCCAGGGGAAATTTTTGATTTAGGGAGAATAAACACCGGCGTAAAGATGTTTAAAGGTTCAAAAACACGCCATGCTAAGGGAAAAAATCGGCGATTGTAACAAAATGCAAGCGCGCACATTATTAGCAGCCTTTTAAGTTTTCAAAAAATGTCAAGAGGGAAAAGATTCTACCCCTAATTTATTAGTATGTTTGTCAAGTGTTAAATTAACAGCTTTAGTATATATAATTTATGTTTAAAATTTAGATTTATTTATGACTTGTATTAACCCTATTAAAAAAGGTTCAGCATTTAAATTGAGTAGTACTTTTAACTTGCTCAGGAATATTAAACCGAATGTAACAATTTTAACATTTATTTTGTGGCTCCGTGAATAATAGTCAACCTTTTCAAGGGCTCCGCAACACCTAAAGTTTGAGAACCCCTGGTCTAGGGAATATTTGTCTTTCCTCATGAAGTGATAGTCGTTATTGAAAAATACCGCGCTCTCCTCAAAAACAAATGAATCAACAATTTCAAATTTTCAGCGTCTAACAGATCGAAAAAATCGCTAAAAGCTTTTACTATTTCTTTCTAATTCGGCTGTTTTGTATCAATTCATGGGAAATCTATTTACCGATGTATGGGAACTTTTTATTGCTTACGCTTGTTCGTTGATTGCTATCATTTTGATCAGTCATATTTTTTAAACACCAATAATTTCGACTGTCGAACGGGTGGAAAATGAAATAGTATTAATTATTCTATTGTGACATTTTTCGTACTAGGTAATTGTTTGGTTGTTTGTTTTAAAGCAAAGATGGTTATTTCGTCCTCAAACTACAACCCAAATACAAACCCGATATAACTAATATATATATACAAAATAATTATACTCTTTCTTATAAACGATATAAATTACGAGAATTATCGGTTGGAAACCGAAGACTTATCGATCGATAGTTAGGGGATCCCCCAAAACAGAAACTGCAGTTTCGATTCATCCGCTCTTGTAACTTGCGCACTACGCATCGCACACACACACTCGGCGGGTTTCAAAATTCTCTCGCTTTACAAAAATCTAGATCACTATATCAATAATTGATTGATAACTCGCTAATTATACGACATAATTCGCCCAAAATCAATAGGCTTCTGGTCCGAGATAAGATGAGTGCACATGCAAAATCTGGAGCAGATTCAATCTCGCTTTCGTGAGATATCGCGTGCATCTAACAGACAGACACACAGACAGACACACAGACATATACCTATCAATATACTTACCGATCTTAAGATCGATAAGTAATAAACCTCAAGAAGCTAGAGTCTGGATTCTTCTATAGCTGTTTTGGCACTATTTATATGTTAGGTGGCATCAATACGTCATCTGAATTATGACATTTCAATATAAACGATACTTTATAAAATCGTGTCGTTTATCGTCAGCAATCCTTTTTATAACTCATTCATCACTTTTTATGCAAATATAATTTTACGGGGAATCCTAATGTGAAGTACTGGTTTAAAATGTGGTTTGAGTTAGAAACTGCGTGTTCGTGTTATTGTGGTCGATGATTTGTATTTTTTGTAAATTATCTATATGCGTAATGGAAATACAGTTTCAAAAGCATGAGCTTAGTAATTATACCCGCTACAATTTAGGAATCGTGTGTTTTTTGAGACACTTTGAATCTTATGATATGAGCAACATTAAAAAGCATATTATTTAATAGAACCTCGAATATATCTACACTTGTTTTTCAATGAAACGTTTCGTTGTACGAATGTGGTAATCTAAGGAAGCCTCAATTGAAACTACCAAATGCCCTCCAGGTTTCCATTATCTATTGTTATTTTCGGATTTGAATTATTTTAGTACGTGTGAATTGTTCGTCATCTCACTTTAAAATACCCTAATGGTTTTTTATGTCGTCAGCATTTTGTCATTCTGACCTCCAATCCCAAAGTTTGTAAGGCTAACTGTTAATTAGACGATGACATTCTAACTTGACGACTATTTGTATATTTGTCAGTGTCATTATGTTGAAGTTCTTAAAGTCACAATATATATATATATATGGAAGTTGTAATTCGACACTGTATTGTTTTGAAGAAATTCAGTATTTTGTATTACTTATTGGATATGAGGTAACATATAGATCGTTTTGTCATTTTGTATTTATGTTCTTGCTGTTGTTGTTATAAAAATTGTTTTTCTCATCAACTACGGAACTAATTACTTTGAAATTTTCAGTGGTTGAAGATTTTTAGCCTGATTTTTATATAATTTTTTCAAAAATTTCTGTGTTGTCTAAGGAATTCCTATCATTGAAAATAAAATAAAAATATCGCACGGTGCGGCGATTCCGCGTTCGCCATCTGGTGGTCAGACGAAGTCGTGAATGCTGCGGTACTGGTAGTCTTATGTGACATATTCCGTATTTTCCGTGCTACTTTGTTTTGCCTTTGTGTACATCGCTCTCTTGTGCATGCATTATATTGCATTTTTGAATAATTTATAGAGATGTGGCTAAAGTACCAAATGATCCTGTTCTAGCACTAGAAAATGAAATAGTTCACAAAATGTCAAGGCCCCCGAAGATTGAAGCCTCTAGGCATCGGCACCCTTCCTGATGATAAATACGACCGGACACCACCTCATACGGAATCACAAAAATGAGAAGTATAATGTTTTATTTTACGATTATATCATTTGACCGTCATCATGGGTTTGTTGTATATACACTGTATTGTTACGCATGATATTTCTACAGGTAATTTTATGATACAATTTCAGCGCGTTCTGCCGTGTATTAATTTGCGTTGTCTTCTTATTCACAGCACAAGTGTGAAATACAATTTTGACTTATCGTAGTCACTGACGTTTCAGATATCAAAGTAAGGGAACATTGGACAAGAAATTTGACTCATTATGAACAGAATAGCGAGGATATACATGGGAGTATGTGAAAAAGGATGAAAAACAAATTACGTATAGTCACATTGTAGAAATTGAAAATTGGCCAGTAAATTTATTTCTATTTCAGTAAAGTATGATAAATGAGGCATACTGTATTCTCAATAAGCTGGTCGAAACTTCATTTCTACAGATTTCATTGAATAGTAGTAAGCATTATTCCAGCGATGCCATTCGATTCCATATGCGTTACCTTTGGTAATGTACTTTCCAACAGGTGCTGCGTATTCTCCATTAAGATTGGATATGTGACAACTGTGATACCACCACGCACCTCTATGACCCGCAGCGCAGTTAGATGAATGAATATCGTTATCTTGGTCCGGTGTCGAAAATTTGAGTCCGTTATGATAAGAAAGAGAATCTCCTGCTGTTCCATAATATCCTCCAACGTTAAGTCTATATTTTGTTGAAGCGTCGCCAATGGAAAAAATTCTGTACAATATATATTGTATATATATAACATTGTTATCATATAGCGTTGTTGCCAATTTTAAGGTGAACTTTCTTTTAACTTGAACCAATAAATACTATTATTCAATTCTATTTTAGTATCTACAATACCAGCGTTTGGGAAAATGGATAGCAAATATATGAGTCAATATTTGGAATGCAGTACGACATGTAGCTCTAAAACGATGTTTTCTATTATATTGCAATAAATAAGCAAATGAGCAAAACGCGAAAATTATAATATTCTGATTTTTTTTTATTTTGCACCTAGGTTGGTTAAAATTTATTCGCAATATCAACAAATAGTAAATTCGGTACTCCTGAATTATGCGCACCAAGATGTCGCATAACCTGAACCCTCCCCTGGTAAACAACATGATTTCAGGTTGTGCGCCATCTTGGTGCGCATACTTCAGGAGGTCCGTAAATTCATTACCATGTATACAAATAGTAACTCGAAAACAGCAACTCTCTTTATACATCTGGAAGTCATTGCGCACCTAAACGTAGAGCGCTTTCATCAACTCAGTCTCATATATAAATAATTGATATAATTGAAAAAGCGACGGAAAAAATCAACAATGTTGACATTTGCCTAATCTTATCACCAAAGTTTCTTACGTGTATGAAGCATATCCCTTCCTTCCTTCCCCGTCTTCTAAATCGATTCTTAATTCAAAGTTCCCTTCATATGTCAGACGATGTAGCTTTTCTAGACCTTAAAAGGGAAAACCAATTAAATTAATGAAGTTATTCGCGACAATATTAGATTTAGCATCAAATTATGCCAACGATTTCACGTTGAGAGCATTTCAGTATTTTAACATATTGAATAAATTCATCTTTTTTCTAGAAAAACCAACTTACCTAACCAAAATTCGTGTTGAAGATTTCCAAACCCGGCAACATAATCCAACCAGTTTCTATTGAAATTAAGACTTCCGTCAACACGTCTTTGGAAAACCTACATATGCAACAATATGCAAAGGTGTTGGTATATCGCACATCCATGGGATAGTTCCAAGATTTGAATTGCAATTTGAATAATCCAGACTTCCCCTAATATATTGTCAATCGTTCTTCACTATTACTAAATATTTGGCTAGTATGCTGCAAATGACTGGTTGTAGATACTTAATTCCGTTCATGGATAATAGGTTCCACAGCAGACTACATGCATGGCAGTTACAAAGCCTAAATGTAGTAGTATTTGAACGGAGACCATTTTTGAATTTTACACTCCATATATGTGAATTAATAATACAAATTGCTAATTTTTACCGTCCATCCTCCACCATGAGTAGTGAGATCACAATAAACTTCCATTTTTCTCCCAGACCTTTCAGAATGAATATCAAATACTCCACCACTTTCATTTCTAATTTTAGCAGAATCTTCTCTAACATGGACGCAGTCCGAATTACTTGTTTTGACAATCGCTGAGAATGCAATATACGTTCAATGTGTACATAATTCCGACTTCACACTGGAAATTACTTAGATCAAGTGTATTTCAAGTTAATTCGTACAATTTACTAGTTTTAGTTCTTAAAGACTTTCCGCGAAGTAAAGAATCATTTGTCAAAACCGCAAATATTGGATCAACATATTCTATGTAGTTTTATTAAAAAACTAATATAAACCTCCAAGTCTCAAATCAACGAAAAAGACGATAAAGCATACAACATGCATAACAGTATGCGAAATTCCATGTCCTCATTAGGTATATTAATCTGTTAATTTATAGTGTTGTGAAATATCGTAATTAGTTTTGTGCAACAACATCTCAGAATCGGAAATCAAGGGTGGTTGAAGTAGGAAAGTGTGCACAAAGATAGTATGAGATTCAATTTATGAATATATAAGATTATGTTTACTGAAAACATTTATATATATTCACAAGATTGCTCTATCAACTAATTTACAAGAATATAATTATTGAAATGCAGGTTCCTCGTCCCTATCCACTCTCTTCTTCTTATCCATGGGAGACTGTTGCCACAAACATGCTAAACGAGGTTATAATAAAGTGATAAATAAGAATAATAAATCTCGTTCCACAAAATAACAAGTTAAGTTTCGCTGTTTGATTTAGGTAAATCTTATTTTGTCTTGAGAAATTGAACTATGATCTATTGAAAGCCAATCGAATAATTTTGTCATCTCATGGAAAGAGAATACCATATGTTATTCTTTTCACTTAGTGAACTTGAATTTCAATCTAATTTACAATATTAATCACTATATTGTCTCATCAGTAAACGTCCTTCAAATTCGTTTGAAAGACTGTTAACATCCTAAAATACACATTTCTAGATTTTTATGACATACCAAGGAGGAGAGCTCAAGTGTGTTATAATACGATTGCATAAATATAAATTCAGGAGAAATCCTTCAATTAGTTATACATATAGTTGGAATTGACAGATCGAAATCTTGTGAAAATATGTTATCAAATTTAATTAATATGTAAAACTAAATATTATATTTATAAAATTATATTGCAGCGTTTCCCAAACTTTTTCGGCCACGGAACACTTACACTTTTTATCTCGTCTCGTAGAATACCAAAAAATGAAAGGGTAAAACTGATAAAGAATAACAATATAATGTAGCAGTTACAAACCGGTTCGCCGTGGCAAGTTGCCAAATGCGCCGCGAAAACTAACAGAATTATGTCAAACATACATAAAATATGATTGAATATTTTACATATTGCATTTATTATAAATGTTTTATTGTTTCTTAATTTATCTGCTGAATTGAGTTTAGCGAAGATAATTAATTTGTTCAGCATTTCAAAGTAAAACCAGGCAGAGATGGAGAAAGAAGAGTTGACATTTTTTTCCTTTATTCTTTAGACTTACTTGTTTGCCTATAGCAAAATCAAAAGAATTTCTGTAAACTTGATAATAAACCTAACAGACAAAAAGCTACCCTAGTTAGGCCGACGGTGACGCGATGTTGGACGACAACTTCACGATCCCTAGATCGCCATGGCGAACATTTTAGACGTATTTTTTTTAAATATTAGAAGTACTCTAGAAAAAAAAACGAACTGTCCTAAAAAATGTTTTATTATAGTACAAGGAGAATCCCATTGCACATCTGTCCCTTTTTGTCTCCCATATATTTCTGAAATCTTCTCAACTCAGTTTCAAAAAATAGTTTTATTGTATAAAATCCTATCTGTTTCTTCGTCGAGTCATGACTGAATCGCAACAATATTTCTGTAAATGATTGTTGTCGTGCAAATCAAAATTCATTTTTTGGTTGCTATGGCTGATCAATGTTTTGATCAGTCACCAATTTCCTGTACGTCTGCGAATTTGTCCAAAACTCTGAAGTATTCCAAGTTTTTGTTGAAACTCGTGTTTGTGTGGAAGATAATACATTGTTTATAGGGCCAATTGGCTTTCTTATTTATTCTTCGGGCGTCTTTGAATATTAAAATTTTGATTGAATATCTTTGAATTGAATATTAAAAATCTAGTAACGAAAATCCCAACAAGATTATATCAAAAACAAGCAAGACGATTCATATATCCATTCACTTTGTCGCTGCAAAATAAGACGTGACAATGATGTATATGAAGTAGTTTCGTATATGCATCCTAAAAATTGTGTTCAAGCCATAAAATAATTCTGCGTTCTTTTTATATACACTCCCAATGCAAAAAAAATTTTTATTGTATTTTGATTGAAAAACTGTGTGAGAAACGTATCAAACTAGTTGTCAATAATCACGCAGCAACCCACCTTCATACATCAATTATTACCGTAGGAGAAAATGATTTTGGTGACCTGAGTTTTGTTTTGTATGATTTCCTGTTTTTCCTTTTAAGAAAAAAATTAATTTGCCATTATGTTTAAAAAATCATTTGAAAATAGGTAGAACCTAATTACCTCTTAGAATCTTTTTTTTTAATTTCTTTTTAAATTATTCAAGTAAAATTGCTTAACACCCAAGTTTATTTTATTTTCATCTGCTCTACACAACAATTGTGATGATTCTAAAATATAAATACCAACAGTATACAAAAATAACTGCGTCGTCGCTAGGTCGCTTAACAATCGTGAACGTTACTGTGAAATGTAACTTTAACTTTGTCAGTCAGTCTGAATTCAGTTAACGACGTATTACTTCCGTATTCATCGGCCCTTTATGTATTTCCAAATTCGTTCACTAGTTATTTCATGGCGCAGCATTTGAATTATATATATATATGATATTTAATAGGAATCTAGGCTAACATATTAGCGGTTGTCGAACATACATGGAATTTTCGCAGGCCGCAGCGTACACTGATTTTCAAATTTTTTTAAATCTTGCGATTTCATTTTGTATGAATGCATGAAAATCCTGTGGTATCTATATTGCCCTCGGTTACTTTTTTCATATTTTAACCTTACAAACAGCTACACCAAAAACATTTCCAGCTTCCATTTTTTGTTTAATTTTTTAACATTACTTCAATTGCGTAATGTCTCATAATTGTGAGTTAATAGTTGAATTATGTATAAAATAGCATGACAAAATGTTCATCAGTTGCTGAATATTGTTTGGTGTTACGAATATGTAAAATATTAAATACGTTGTATTATAAAACTAATAGTTTCATATTAATGCCGACAGAAAAGTATGAAAGTGTACGTTTAATATGATGTTCGGAGTTTCATTTCAACGAATTTCATTGAATAGTAATAAGCATTATTCCAGCTGAACCATTCGATTCCATATGCTTTACCGCTGGTAGCGTACTTGCCAACAAATTTCACGTATTGCCCATTAAGATTGGAAACATGGCAGCCGTTCTTGTACCACCACGCCCTGTTGTGATTTCTGGCGCAATTTGATGAATGAGGATCGTTATCCTGATCCGGGTGGAAAACTTCTGCTTGGTATGAGCTGTAAGAGAGTCTCCCGCCGTGCCTGAATATCCTCCTCCGACGAGACGATATTTTGTTGACGCATCTCCAATAGAAAATATACTGAAAGTAAATGCATTATGCTTTGATAAATGATAACGAATATTCTTATACGTGAGCAATAATACAATAATATCAATACGAATGGAGACAAGAACATTAAAACGAATTATATTATTTGTTAACTAATGGTCAAGTGCATGAGATGTTCCTAAGTACTTACAAAACTGGCTGACTGAATATTATTATTACTTTTTTTATATTCTGGCTATTCATTTTTGCCTCGCCTTTAAATTATTTCCAGGTGTTTGAGGAGACATTGAGAATTGTCATATTAAATGAAAACACTGAAATTTTAGGATTTGCTTTAATGATTAAATTATGTTGATTAAAATAACTCAACTATGGTTGACAATATATATTACGTATATGAAGCATATCCCTTCCTTCCGTTCCAGTCTTCCAAATCGATTCGCAATTCTGATTTTCCTTGGGTAGTGAGACGATGTAGCTTCTCTAGGCCTAAACGGTTAATCGAATGTATATAATAATAGGTTATATATAATAAATTAGCATTGCAGGTTTAAATATCAATTTGAAGTAACTTTTTCATATCACCATCCAATATAAAATGAAAGGAATCAACTCAAATAACCTACGCATTTATTACATATTTATACCGGTATATATGAAATATGATTGGTTTAGCTTTCGAACTTTTCAAAATCAACTTACCCATCCAAAATTCATGTTGAGGATTTCCAAACCCAGCAACATAATCTACCCAGTTTCTATTGAAATTAAGACTTCCGTCAATACGTCTCTGGAAAACCTGAATAAAATAATGCAAAGGTTTAGAATCACAGTTGATATTTCTCATTATTAGTTTTCAATGTGACATTATCATTAAATTCTTGCAATTGTTAAGTTTCTAAAATTTTCAATCTTGCTCGTGGGATATCTCTTACTACTTACCGTCCATCCCCCACCATCGGTAGTCAGATCACAATAAACTTCCATCTTTCTCCAGGATTTTCCTGGATAAATATCAAACACTCCGCCAGTTTCATTTTTAATTTTAGCAGAATCTTTGGTGACTTGAACGCAGTTCGTCTGTCTTGTTCGCTGTTAACATGATACATGAAGCAAAAAAAAATGTCGTATTCAATTTATCTAGATCACGTGAAAATGCCTTGGGTCGTGTCATTTAACTGGCCTGAGTGAAGGCATGATCAATGATGCGGTTGATTCGCTTGTGGTATTTTGCTCGAATTCCAATCTGGCCTGTAGCTCGGTATTAAATTGACCGGGACTTTCATGACGAAATCAAATCGCAAAGCTCGGGTAAAACACGCTGTTTACACTGTACATACAGAAAGTAATAAAATGAACTCCACAATTGGTTGAAGAAAAGAGTACTGAATGCAGTGATATTACAAAAAATGTCAAAAATAGATTATTTGATATGAAATTTAATTGACAAATACAAACGTAATACAACGTCGTCTTGTGATCA